ACTGCCTGACATTAATCTCGCCTGCCTGTGCCTGAAAAAGACAAGTGAGAAGGACATTGCTGAATAAGTTACATTTTCAGCATCATAGCTACAAGACTGAATTGCTCACTTCTCCCAGCCTTATCTTAGCTGGTGTGCAATCCTAATTAAAAGTCTGACGTAAGGAATACACACAGGGAAGAGTCTGGCATGGATGTTATGGATGAGATGATAAACTTTACGAGCACAGCTACCTCCCATGAAGCTTTTGTAGTTAACTGCTGGACCTAAAAATGTTGCTCTAGAGTGCACCTTTTCTCCTTTCAGAGGGCTGAAAATGTTAAATAAAACAGAGCTCCCCTTTCTAATAGGGAGTAGCATCTTGCTGATCTAATTAATCTACATGGCTCATTCTTTCATTGAGATAACTTTACTGGCAAATCAGGCTCCAGTTCCCTTCTCCCACTGCTCATTTTCAGGGTGAAAAAGGCTGTGGGTAAGAAAAAAACCCATGCATCCATCTTGTGAACAATGCTGTCATGTAGTTAACACAGCAGAAATATTTGTTTAATTAGTTGCATTTTCAGCTTTTAAATGAGAAGAAAAAACAAGCCATGGGTGGTCTGTAACCTCAGAAGAGCAAATATTCCTGGCTGTAAACTCATCTGAGCTCAGAATACTGGGTTGGGCATAAAAAAAGCATTTATTGAATCCTAGGCCTGAGTCAGGAACAGAAGGTGCATTAAGAACTTCCAAACTGCACCCTACCACCAATTCATTAAGTGTTCAGCATTATTTAATAAAAATGGCTTATGCATATACTTCAACTGAAACACTGTTTATTCATAAACATTTTTAACTACAGTATGTGTTGGGAATTATTCACACACCCCTTTAGAGACAGTTTTAAATTCTTCCTTCAAGTAATTGCATGCAATTCCCACTGCTGTCTGCCTCAACTAGGCTAGAGGTCTGCAAGCAGAGCTTGCCCTGTATTTTGCAATTAAACCAAGGATGTTAGTTGGTTCATAGAGAACAGGACTCCCTGCTGTTAATGTCTTGTTAAGGCATTAACATTACAAAAGTAAGAAAACTGCCACCATTTGTTATAAAAGCTATAAGCAATTTTACTGCATGCTTGAAATCCAAATTTGATTGGATTTTTGAAAATATTCCTCCTTTTATCAGATAAGTCAATCTTCAGGTAGGCACAGAATAAAATTGTCAGACTTTCTACAAAACTACAGGATGTTTCTTGAGAAAACATGAGACACTTGAATGCTGAAATGATGGCTGAGCAGATTTATTGCTTCAGCCCACATTTCTTCAGGTTACATTAACATAACAGTAACTGCTTTCACACTCAGACTGGTGAACAAGCAGCAATATTTGCTAATGGATTCAGGGGCTGCTGCAGTGGGACACTGCAGACAGGGAACATCACCATTGCCCCATGCTGTGCCATCCAAATATTTCCAGGATGCTTTCTCAGAACCTCTCTGCCACTCTTGCTTTCAATGCTGCCTAATTAAAAGGTGCTTAAGGAAGCTTCTTACTTCACGAGAGAGATTCCTGGAGAAGTTGGTTTTTTCCACACTTTCCTGCTCTCTCATAAGGCATAGGTTCTCCCACCTTCCCCATTTCCAAAGCCTAACACTCATGCAGAAACACTAGAAACTTCTGAGCTGGGAAAGACATACCCAAAACACGTTTTTCTCTTTTCTGTGTGATCTCACAGCTGGAGATGAAGACAGCCAACACTCTTTGACCTTACTCCTCCAAGGGCCATATGTGTTCTGCATCTGGCAGTGGGACAGCTGCTGCTTTAGGACTTTGCCCTTTCTGTCTCCTTTATCTTTCCTTCTGTCATCTGCTTATTTTCCATTTTTATTATACTCTTTTTTGGTAGATAATAATGCCTTTAGGATTAGTGCTGGCAAGAGGCCAGGACAAAATGGCAGCACTAATGATTTTTGTTTGAGTTAGGGTCACTGTGAGATAATTTAGACCATGGGCTTGGGGCCCCGTTTTCCCATGACATTGGAAAAATCCACACAGAAAAGCAGACACAGTGAATGCTTCAAATCCAAACCTCCCTAAGCGTCTCCTCTTGGGACACAGCTTGCAGAAAAGAATGAGGACTATATTTCAACACCCGTGGATATGACTTGAGATGGGCTGTACTATTGATTATCTTTCTACATAGTTTTTGTTTTCAGGAGCAGAATCCAGCAGAGCAACATCCATCTCTGTCGCTTCCCACCCACTCAGCTCAAGGACTTTTCCTTCCCAATCTTCCCTTGGAGGACACAGCTTTGCCTAATGAATACCCAGGACACTTTTTTCCCCATGTTGCCAAAGAAAGCACATTAATGTGTGCCCACTACCCAGAAATTTTTCAGAGGGGAAGGAACTGGCCTTCAGTCTAGCTTTTTATCTTTCCCCACTAGTTTTCAAAATGCTTTTTCTTTCTTAATCCTGAAGGCTGCCCCAAAATGTTTCTCCTCTGAACAGGGCAGCAGGACAATCAGTTAAGGGAATATGATGCATGTCTTTTCCACTGTCTAAAGTGGGGAAATGTATAATTCATCAAAAATGATGCAAAGCAAACCACAAAGTTAAAGTTCACACACTGTTAATGAGGTTTTTTGCTATACTCAACCAGAAACTAACTCTCTTGGAGACATTTTATTTTACCATTGTTAGAAGGCTGTGAAAATGCAGGTAGGGGAGGGTCTGCTGAGGTCTATTTTATTTAAGCATCCAACTAATAGCAGGATACTCTGCATTTGAAACCAAACCTCCTTCCCCATAGCCATGACCTGTATTTCCTCTACAGAGAGCTGCAGATGCCAGTGGCCTCCACCTTGAAGGCTGCCTGTGAGCCAAGGGCTGATGTTTGTTTTAGATGGCAGGATCCTGTGGTAGGTGTACACAGATCACCTACCAAGATGTTCTCTGTGTCCCATCAAGAACAGATAGGGAAGCAAGAAGAAAGCCAGATGGGAAAGGAAGAACAGGAAGAGGAGTAGGGGAAGCAGCAGGAGGAGGAGGCCTATGCAGCTTGCCTGGCCCTAGCAAAGGCTCAAGGTTTTTTGTGAAGGAATGTTGGAACAAGGTGAAGGACCCTGGATCACAGCTGGAAATGGGACACAGGGAGAGGCAGCCCTCAGAGCCAGGCAGAAGGTGCTCAAGGATGAGGCGGTAGGGAGCCAGCCCCTGTTGCTGGTCCAGCACAGGCAGGGGCAGTGACAGCAGACACAGGAGCTGTGCAGTGAGGAATGACAACAGAGGACACTGCACACAGTGCAGCTGAGGGAGTCTCCCCAGCAAACACATCAGCCTGCAAAATCTCCCCCATGCTGCCAGAGGGGAATTTGCTCTCCCCTAGATCCAATTCTGGTTGACAGAATGAATGCCCAGAACAGGGCTTGTAACTATGCAGCCCCAATCAACAGTGCCCAGGGTTTGCAGTGGGTCCCCACCCCAAAGAAGAGAAAAGTATCCTTTTGCCTGCCTCCAAACTGCCCACAGACAGCACCCTGAGCTCTCAGCAGTATAAGGCTTAATTGGGGAAGATATCACACTGCCCAGACTAAAAGAAAACCACAACGCTGCAGATGAATGGATGTAAAGTATTTAAAACCACATTTCTCACCAACCACAACCAAAGGCACGTAGCAGGTTTTCAAAGGACATAGCTTGCTAAGTGAAATCTGCAAAAGGACATATGGAGAGAAAAGGGAGCAACAGCACAAACTAAAGTCCCACGGCTTTCTTCAGAACTCATTTAGCAGGTTCTTCAGAGCAGCACCTTGAAACTGTGAGGTGGGGTTTCTCCCACTAACCCAAAACAAAACATGCCAACAGAAGACTAAGACTAGATTTTGAAAGTATCACAGGAATAATATAAACCACTGTTGTGATTCAAATATAACATTTTAGGTAAAATATTTAAATCAAATGCATCATAGTTCTAAGAAGCCCACATTTTCTAAACGTAGCCAAAGTTATACAATAAACTGCAGGAAAGTTTATCGTTCCTTAAGATAACATTCAAGCACAAGGTGATGAACTAAAGATGGACACAATGCTTAAAGCAAAAGGGATGAGATGGAAGCCTAAGTGAAAGCTGGAAAATGAAGGGTTTGGGTTGCTTTTTTGGGTTTCAGGCTCTCATTTCCTGCAGCTAAAGGCTGACCAAACTCTCCTCAAGCCTCTCTTCTTTATAAGAGTATTTGGAAAGCTGAGACCGCACCATGGAGAAGGCTGACTGTCTGGGAAGTACTTGTATCAGCATGCAGAAATCCCTGCAGGTATGTGCCATACATTTTTGCTTCCACAGATGACTTTTCTATGAAAATGCCTAATGAACTAGTTTAGCATTAGCTCAGCACTAGCTCAAAAGCAATTTTCAAAGGTGTTTTCCTCCTACATTTTGAGAGGTTAAAAAAAGGCATAGCTTCCCATGTCCAGCTCTGGAAGACACTGGCGTTCCCCAAGGCTTAAAGCAACTTGCAAGGACTGTTGATATTCTAGACAGTTCAAAATAAAAACAGCAACTACTTAAATATTCTTTTTTGAGAAATAATACTTTTCTCACATCAGGAATGACTTGATTGTATGTGATACAGATAGCATAACTTTCTGAGACTGGATTCTAAAAAGAAAATTAATTATTGGGAGAAAACAAAAAAGAAGGCTGTCTTTCTTCACCTGCTAAGAAGACTTATCAGTGGTAGAGTGAGAGACACCTGCCTTTGCCCTTTATGCTGATGAACTAAGAGATGAGCACAGGACAATTGGTCATGGATGCTGATGCAGATATAGTGCACCTAGACCAAGCCTATCCGTGTAATTTGCATTATCCACCAAAAAAAAAAAATTATATGTGCGACAGCACACTTTTGCAACTGAGCCCAGGTGTTTCTGTCCTGATAAGGTCTCTCTGCCACTTCTGCTTTAATTAGGACCATGTTTTTCAAGATGCTATGATCTGAAGACTGTCATCAAGTACTTACATAGTCATCTTCACGAAGACCTTGCTTCTGAACAGAACTTTTCACCTCCAGGGAAAACTTCTCAAACTCAGGCTTCACAGTCCTCAGGAGAGTGACAGTTTGGAGGTATGAATATGCTTTCTTGGCTTCAAGATCATGTTTGTCTCCTCTTCTCCAAGAGCCATTTCCTAAAGAGGGAAACAAGCACATTTCCAAACTAGGTATCATTATGGGATCCTTTTTCCACCCAAAAGTCCCCTTTTCTGATTGTTGGAGAGATGGTAAAGTACAAAGGAGAACAGACCCTTCCTCAAGGTGTGCAAGAAATAACTAAGAAGTGAATGTGCACACCAAAGGACAACTTTACTCCCATGCTGTTTTTGCGTATTTTAAAAGGGTGGAATAAATCCTAAGTGTGAGATGGCATCTTGGAGCCAAACACATATGCCAGATCCCAAAGGCAGAGAGATTTAAGTGAGAAGAAGTGAGGGAGGATTCATGCACAAAGTTTTTGTTACATGTCACTCGTCTTGGACAGTCAGAAAGGCACCAGTAAAGTCAAAGGCATGAAAATCACCCCGAATGGGAGGCAGATGGTGCAGCTCTCCCACTGTGGTCAAGGACAAAACCATGCGTGCCATGGCTGCCAGACCAGCTCTGTTTTTAATGGGAAAGGAATACATAGAAATAAAATGGAATCCTGCACCTACGCTGTATTTACACGTGTTTTGTGTCACAGCAAGGGAACAATTTAACTCAGACCACCAGTAAAGAAACCACATTTTTAAAAAGCAGGATAGATGATTGGTTTTTTATTAGGAAAGAAGTCCTTCTTACAAATATACCCTGGCCTTAGCAGGCCCTGAGATCCTGATCCAAAGCCTCAGGAGGTCAGTGGAAAGATTCATGTTGTTCTGGAGCAGGTTTTATACTATTTTATGTAAATGATAACTAAAAAAGGCTAGAGGGAACAATGGTAGCCCTAAGCAGTGAGCCTTTAAATGTTTACAAGTAATTAAAAGCTAGACAGTCTTTATTTTTTGAACAACAGCAACAAACCCCATTACGGCTAAATGAGCCAAGACAAAACTAATGCTAAATTCCCAAGGTGACCTGGAGGTACAACTGAACCTGAAATCAGAGAGGATGTGGGTATTTTGCTTGTGTTGAGGACCATATTGTCATTGGACAAGGAGAAGCAAGTTGTAGGGATGTTAAGGGAGATGGAGTACAGGTAAAAAACTCATGGTGCTCCCTGCACAGTGCTTCCCAGCTGCATCACACAGCTGCAAGAACAAACTCTTGGACATGAAGCAGGTAAACAGAGCTTGCTTTTTGTCCTCCTAGCACTACTGCTGGGACTTAACTGGAGATTTGCTCTGCTTCCTCAGAGAGCACAAGGGAAGGAGCAGAGGCCCTGCACTTCTCTGGGGGATAAACCCTTTCTCCTGCAGTTTTTGGGTCCAGGACTGCTCCTGTCAGTCCCCACACAAGGCAGGAGACACAGGAGCACCTTTCCCACATCTCTTGTCAACCCTAGGAAAGCCTTATTTACCACAGCCCAACACCAACTAGGACTGTAATCTTTAGACACAGCAGGAACTTTGCTATTTTTTTAAAGTGATTTAATTTTTTTTTAGGAAGGAGCTCTAGATACATATGCCTTGCTTGAGGGATTTATTTCCCAATACAAGGTCAAAATCACTTACACAGAGCCATATTCATCACACCCAGTGGAGACACTGCATAGCAACTCACATCCCACTGTCTGGTTTGGCCACTCTCCCCGGCAGAGCCTGCACCTGACCTCTTCACTGCTTTCAAAGAGAAGGAAACACACATCTGGCAGCTGTAAGCAAGCACATCTTGCTACCTTCCCAAAAGAGAGTACAAGCCTTGCAGATGCCTCAAAGCTGAACAGCTTCTGCTCCAGCTGGGCACCTGCATTTTGGAGGTGCTGGATTCAAGAAGCGCATCAGAGACTTCAGCACAGAGGGCTTAGTGATAGCTTTGCATTTGCAAATGGACATAGCTAAAAAGCATGAGATTAGAGACATTAAAAAAAATTTTTAAAAAATGTGGTGGTGCTAGTAGAATGTAACTTTCTGTCCTGGACACTATAGGTGTTCCTTCTTTAAATCCCAACACTGGGACTGGGGAAGGTTCACTTGCATAACAGCGTTCCTTGAATAATTCACATATTTAAATTCCTTCATGGAGTATTTTGTGGGAGGTCATCTTGTTACAATACTTGTGTACAATTATTGCAGTCTTGGCATTTAATAAGCCTGGTCTTCTGAAAAATTAGAAATATTCAGAACAGAGGGCAACAACAAACTGCAATAAAGTCATCTGAACTCGGAGACAGTGCCAATTGCCCAATCACACCCACTCTTAGGTTTTATGAAACACAAAACTTAGTATCTCCAGGCACTGGGAACAAGGATTTTTGGAAGAACTTCTCTACATTTCTCTTGTGTTTGCTTCTCATATGCAGTGACCATCTGTGCAAAAGTCAACTTCTGATGCACAATCATTTCCCACTACATAGGAAACACATCCACAAGCAGAAAATTGGTTTAAAACAAATGTCAGGAAATGCCACATTCTAACTACACTACATCAGAAGCCAGGCATTTTTCACCCCTCAGAAAAGCTACAAGAAGGCTGGACTACCTGTGATGCAAAGGAGGGTGGTAATGAGGCTCCCACATTGGCTTAGATCTTGATCTACAACTTCATGTTTTAGATATCTGAGTGATTAACTTCTTGCCTGGAAAAATTTGGCATTCTTTAGCTAATCTTGATATATGTCGCAGAATCTGTACTTCTGTACATATCTAGACCTCTGAATTTATACAGTTACATACCTTCATTACACAGGGTGTCACACAGCGCTGTTTACTGGGAAATAATTTCAGGGGTAGCAGATGAGCAACAGAAAGCTTATGCAGAAGAACTTCCAGTTAACAGATTAATTTTAAAAAAAATCATCCTTTTTTAAATTCAGTTGTTTCTGTTGTTCAGCCTTTGCAGCTTTAAGAAAGAAAACCCCCACACTTCACCTTTTTTCTCAACTTCCACTTGGTTTTAACTTGAAATGAATTTCTTATTATAGTGGATTATTTAAAGAAGTCTGCACAGAGAAAATTATTTTCTCTACATCTGCAAAAGAATCTGCGCCTTTTAAGAGCCACATTATACTTCAACAAAACCTGCCCTGGCTTCAGCCACCTGATGTTTGATCTCAGCAAACACATAGCTCCAATATTACTTTGAATTTAGGTGAGACAGCTGCACCAGCTGAGAGCAGGTATAGTCCCTGCCATGCACTGATGTAACAGGCAGTTACAATTATATTTTGGCATACAGGTATATTAGGTATATTTCAAAAAGAAAATACATTTAATTTACATTTTGAAGTCATATTTTAGTTTGACAAAAATGACTTCTTTTACTTACGGGTGTAAACCGCCACTTTTATTCACTCTGCTCTAGAAAATTTGGACTGCCTGTGTCCCATCCACAGCTTTCCCTTTAATGCAGCATGGCTGAATATTTTTGCAGACAGAGTCTGTGATCAAAAGATCACAGTGAAAGTCACCCAGACCTGAGCACACACACTGCAGAATGGGGTACCCACACCATAACCAATGTCTCTGCCTGGTGCTACTTCCCCAAAAAGTAATCCCTGTAGCATATTTGGCATCTTGTTACCCACCTAGTAGCAACTATAGCCACAAGGTCTGTTTTATTTCTTGCAACACCATAGCCCAAGTGGAAGACAGCTGCAACAACAGGGAGAGACAGTGGTGTTTTCTGGGACTCAGTGCTGCATGTTTTGAGGCTAACAAATCTAAAAATACTACCACGTTACAAAAGACTTTGCAACACACTTGGGCAAGAAAAGCATTACCATATGATGAGCTGTTGAAGAGTTCAATATTGAAGAAAGCATAGTCCCCATTGGTCATTCCTTGCCGATGAGCAGCCAGCATGATGTTCCTGATAGTGTCACCGCTGGCACACATGATTACAACTGGAAAAAAAATAAGAAATATAGATAAGAAGCAGCTCAAGAACTTCAGAGAACAGCATGTGAAGCAAGAATGCTGCCAGAGACACTGACCCCAGCTGTCCTCACAGTTTTGCAACAAACATGAAAACACAGATTCCAAAAAAAAGCTGATTTCCTAAAGAGCTGACAAGACAGGTAGTGAACACAGAACGGCTTCCTCTTCCCTTGTCTCCTCTGAAGATAATTAAATAGGTCCTCTGTGTGATCTGGGTTTTTACCCCTGCAGAATTCTGGCTCCAAATTCCTTTACCCACATGTATTTGTAGACTAGACCACAATCACAAGCTTACGTTGTTATTTCTAAGCAGACATAAGACAAAGATGGAAATACCATGACTTACCATTTCCATTCCATTGAACAGTTTGATGTAGACTGAACTTACCTACACCTCAGGCACCTAATATTTAGGTACCTGACCTAGATTTTGCTGCCTCTCTGCACTTAAGGGAGAGCAGCACCTGTGCAGCAGGAACAGTGGTATGAATCTTTCCAGAACATGACTTCCTCTCCAAAGACCATGCAATAAGCCTAAGCAAGCACCTCTGATGGGATGCCTAATGTTAATAAATGGAAAAACCAAGCACCATTTTATAAGCATGAAGATTAAAGGTGGGTACAAACACCACAGGGCCCCATTTACCATGGGCCAATAGCTAAGCAGAGGCTCTGCTGCTACGACGAGACCTACAAGCCCACAGGTGTGGCCCTGTGTGGGCACCGTGACCCCCACTGTGATGATTGTGGTTCCTAGGTCTCTTCCCAGATCTGCTGGGCAGGGGGACTACTGCCCTTGCTATTCTTTGCTTCTGCAAAAGAAAAGGAGAATCCTAACAGGTGAGGTCTTCAACATCGGGGAGAAAACTCCCACACAGAGCTAGTTACACTACAAGCTTTTACACCGGTTTGCAAGACTACGGGTATGAAGATCCTGATATCAGAGGGAAGAGCAAAGTATTTTATTTATCAGAGTGTGCTTCAGGAGTGTATCCTAAAGCAGAGACATAAGAGATCCTGTCAGAAGGGTGATTCAAAACCAACTGCACACACGTTTCCAAGAACGCCATCACGCATGGCAGGACTCAAAAGCTGCAATAATGTACGCAAATATTTTCAACCCAACAATAAAAATGAATCAAAACCACATTCGGCTCTTCTGGGTGGAAGTGTTTTCTATTATAAGAAATGAAAACGCCAAACAGGCCAAATCTTTTCGCACACAATGAATCTTCTCCCATCGCCTTTCTGGTTGGATGCCATCACAGGCATAAGCCTCCAGATGTGCCGCTGGGGTGAGTCATATTCAGTACAACCCCTCGCTTCAGGAGAATTATACCATGCATAGCTCTGTCCTACTGATGATGGCAGAGCAATATAATAATTTCCAGAGCAACAGAGCAAGACATATTTCATGATCATTGTGAAGAATATTAGCATGAAGGAAAACGAACAAGAAAAAAAGTTTCTTGCAATAAAATTTGGACCAAATATTTTCCAGATGCACATCAGGAATGAATTTGTCTTACTGTTCTTAATTTCAGTATAGGTGAGAGATTTCCTTTTGAAATGTTTCCTTGCTGCCCTCCCAATTCTTCCTTGACTCTGCCTTTGTAATTCACTTCTATCATAAAACTGTAATCTGTAGATGGAATCAAAGGGATTCCCACAACACCAATAAAAGACGTTGAGGCAAAAGGAATAAAAGAAAGAGAGTGTGTGGTGAACTACTTTAACATACATTAAATGGTATTTTGTAAGCCTCTAAAGGAATGTAAGGGAAGTAATATTAACTGTTTGGAAGTGGTTTCTAACCCAGCAGGAAAGCAAAGATTACATATTTCAAGATTCTGAAGCAAATAAGCCAACGGTATATTTCTCACAATCTTCCAAAAATGTAAATTATGTATTTAATCTGCACCTGTACCTTACCATTGTGTATGTACAAACCCATACAAAATATTCTCCCTCCACCATAATACACATAGACCACAGTAATTCTAATACTAAAATGCTGAATTTATTGACTAGGATTATTGACTCATCCTGAAAATACTTTAGAGTTTGATTCCAGTTTAAAGGAATAAGTGTTCCCTTTGCTACACATATCCCTTGGACTGCATGCTTATAGATTAATCACAAGCCTGCATTTGTGAACCTTACAGTAAACCTGAGCCTACAACATGAACTCTGCAGCAGGCTTACCTGAGTCTGTAAAAAAGCCTGAACTACTAATCAAACAAATTGTAGACAAGCACTTAACTTTAGTTATCATATTTTCATCATTATGTTTTGTGGCTCCAAGACTTCAGTCATGTCACATTGAACACACAGTCCCTGGTACCTGGGGTGAATGGCTGAGTGTGCCTCTTCTGCCCAGACATCTGCAAGGTCAGTGCAAACCCCCAGCCAGCATCAGCCTCACCCCCAGGGCCAGCCTCTGTCCTGCTTCCCACAGGACAGCTGGTGGGGCAGTTCCTGTTCCAGCTCTGGGAGAGTTTCAAGCAAGAATCCTGTATCTGCTCAAAAGCCCACTGCCAGTCAGGGAGTTCAGCGAAGGCTGACCAATCAGGTGGGACCCCAAACAGCAGCAGTCTTTGAAAGCTAGAGAAGGTGAGGACTTAGAGCCAAGGACAGTATCACAGCAGGTGTGACACAGGAGTCATGAAAAACTGGAAACCAACCAAGCAAAAATATTTCTAGAAAGTGCTCTGGACAGTGTGCTGCTGCCCACAAGTCCTGCTGGGGGAATCTCCAGTGAGCAAATAAAGACTTTGACTGATCTTCAGACCTCATCTGGTGCACCCTCCACGTGGTGTAGAACTCTTAAAATATTGTGGTAACCTGAAAGATGCCATGAGCAGCAGGGCTAAAGGAATCGGCCAGGTGAGTCCTGCAGTCAGTTTTTAAGGTCAGAAAGGCACAAGTGGAAGCTGGAGGAACCCACCTGAGTGGCAGGAGTCAGAGAACAAATAAAGAGGTGAGATGGAAGGAGGGACCCCACAGGGCACAATGGGGAGAAAGAAGAGGGCTGCTTCTGTTCAGTCATTTGCAAATTGCAAAAATTGTGAAAGATCAAATGTCTCAGCTCAGCATAGGATTTCAGACCAGGCTGAAAGCAAGTCCTCTTTCCTGACCGTCAGCATGGTGGGGCTGGGGTGAACACTTGTCTTTTCCTGCTGTAAGCATGCTGCAATGCTCTCGGCATCAGGAAAGCCACACACACACACACTTGACAAGCATCTTTCCCCACACTGTGGTTTCCTCCAGCACTGACACATTTATTTCTCTCCATTCATTATATTTTCCCAAATGATACTTAAAAGGAAAGCTCTATTTAAAGCACCTGCTTCAGGGAACAGGGAATTAAAAGCCCTATACGGGTAGACCTCAGTTATCTCACACACTCCTGCATGTTAATGATTTCACAGCAGCGTAACATCAGCAGTGCAAGGCTGCTCCATCCACAGCCTACAGCACCATAATACCAGTTCTGCCTGCCACACACAGCATGATCTTTTTCTGTTCAATTCTGATGCTATTTTAACACTCTACAGCAAGATATGTAAGAATTGTACAAAGGGCTTTGTACATCCATGGCTTTCTTGGAAAATACCTAAAGACTTTAACTTCACCCTCCAGTTCACTCCTGGAACACATATTTTCTTTTTGCATGACTTACTGGGGAAGCCTGTGGCTGTTAAAACCCTCTAACAGGAAAAGTGTTTCTGATAAGCCCATATATCCACCAATTGCTAGGCAGTATCTCACTTTAAAGCACATCTAACTACAAAACTGCACGTTCCAAAGCACTTTGCTTTGCTGCTCCATGATGCAAAGTCAGTTTATCCAGCCCAGACCTGACTGTCCCAGATGTTTCACAAGCCATTTATCTCCACGGTCTCTTCCTAACTGTGGGTGACAATATCACGGCATGCACTCAGGTGTTTCGCATGCACACATCCCCTGAAATTGCCATTTCCCCTAAATGCATCTATTATTTACGAGATACTTGACGGGGCTCCCAATGGCAGAAGTCGTGAAAAGGTCTCCCGCTGCCAGGCACAGCGGGGTGAGAGGAAAACATCTTTGTTTAGTCCCTGAACTTACACAGCGTCACTGCAAAAAATCTCAGAGAGTAAGCAACAGATTTGCTGCCCCGCAGACGTGGATAATGTCGGGTAAACCCGACCGCCAGCAGAAAGCTGATTTCTCACCACGGCACAAAGCCCCCCTGAGGTGGTCCCCTAGGGCAAACCGCTCTTTACGCCGTCGGGAGGCAAAACTCTACCTCTGTGGGCAGAGTTTTCACTCCGGGCTTCTGTTCCCATCCGTCGGAGGATGCCTGGCCCCGCGGCCGCCGTCGCAGCACCGCAGGGCTTTCCCCACGGGCGGGGACGAGCCGGGACTCTTCCCCCCGCGCAGGTCCTTCCCTCCGCGGGATTCCCACCGCCCCAGCCGCCACCGAGCGCCACGGAGGAGCCCTGCCGGGCACTCCGCCGCCACTCACCCCTCTCTCCCGTCTGGAGGGCGCGGACGACGTCGTCGATGTCGAGGTGCCGGCTGGTCTCGTCGAAGCTGTGCACGGCCATGTGGAAAGCCTCCTCCTGGAAGACCACATGGACGCCCTCCATGGCGAAGTAGCAGCTGCGCTCGGGGTTGCTGTCGCTGTAGAGCAGCGTGGCCCGGTTCCACTGGTGGTGGCGGAAAAGGGCCAGCAGCATCTCTCCCATCTTGGCGTAGGCGGGCGCGACGCGGGTGAGGTGCGAGTACTCGCCGCCCTTGGCGCCGAAGCCGGCGGCCAGCGCTCCCGCCGACAGCATCGGCACGTCCCAGTGCGCGGCCAGCCGCGCCACCGGCGCCGCCGCGTACTCGCACACCGGCCCCAGCAGCAGGTCGGGGCGGCGGCGCTGCAGGGCCACCATGTCCACCAGGCTGAACAGGGCGCGGTTGCCGCACGCCGAGTCCTCGTAGGTGATCTGGAAGGCGTAGCCGGGCGGCAGACCCGTGCCGCTCTCCCGCAGGCTCCGCACCGCGTACTCGATGGCCGGCCGCACCCGCCCCAGCGAGAAGAGGTAGGCGTCGTCCTGCGGCAGCAGCACCAGCACCCGGATCAGCTTCTCCTCCTCCTTCTCGCCCGCGGGGCCGCCGCCCAGCGCCGCCCGCGCCGCCAGCACGCAGCAGAGGCTGCCGAGCAGCCAGGGCGGCATCGCGCCCGCCCCCCCGGAGACGCCCGAGCTCCGGCAAACTTTTCGCCCCCCCCTTCCCCGCCCGCCTCGAAATTGTTCGGTCGTGCTTTATTTCTCAGGTGTTTGGCGGATTCACAACCTGCCCCTCCCCACCCCGCTGGCGGGTCACGGACGGAGCATCTCGGCTCTGCTTTTCTCGTTCTCTTATAGATGGACGACTATTACTATGATCACTTTCCCCCCCACGCCGGATCCCCCCGCGGGGCTGCCGGGCTGCGCCCTCCCCGCTTAAGTAGCGCGGGAGCGGCGGCGGCGTCTCCGCACGCCCGGCGCGGCGCGGCCGGGTTTGTGCGCAGGGAGGAGCCGGCCCGGGCGCTCCCTCCCTGCGGCCCCTCCCTGCGGCCCCCCCGCCCCGCACACCTCCGCGGCCGCGCGGGGGGTGTCCTTATCGCACGCATCCGACACTCATGTGTGTGTGTTTCGCCTACCTTCCGGCTCGGCTGCTGCGCTGCCTTGCCGAGCGAGTCCCCGCGGTCGGGCCCGAGGAGTAAAGGAGCCCATTGCGCTACCATTTTTAAAGATTTCTTAAATATTCTTTGGGGGTTGTTACAGACCGCTTAAGCCGTCCTTTACTGGTTGAGGAAGGCTTTTGAGGCATCCCGAGGGCTCAGGGGTTCGGTGCTCGGCAGGGTTGGGGGATTTGGGGAAGGAGGGGTTGCAGCATCAGCACCTGGGCATGCAGGCGGCAGGACACAAGCGGGGCTGCCCCGCTCCCATCTCCTCACCCGGAAAGGTGCCCGTGCACAGCATAGGCCAACGGGGAATTTGACAGTGGATCTGTGGCCCCTGCCTGTGTCCCTTTGGGATCTTTCTGAGCCCCCCGTGCCTAGAAGGTCTGAATGCCGGGTTTTGCCATTTCCCACTGTGTGGAGAGACACAGTTTCATGCCCCAAGCAACAGAGGTTAACATCAGTGAAGGAGAGGTCTGAGATTATTTTACCGGGAAAAAGAGAACTTTTGGAATTACTGCGACAACACTGCCTAGTCCTAGGAGCATCCCTGTTGAGTTCTACTCACTGGCTTAAAACTGCTATGTTTCAGTTTTTGTTAGCCTTTTCTGAAATAAAGTGATGTGAAATGTGCAAGATGTTTTGTGAAAGAGGCTTTGGAGCACCTGATGCTTTTTGACTGCAACAGCCTAAAGGATGGTGCTCGGTGGAGCTCTGTGTGCCCTGTAGCAGCGTGCATCCTGAAAGCCAGAGCAGGGCTGTACATTTTGATGTTTTACGGTTGCTAGAGAGTGCCAGGTTTGTGTTTGAAAGGGGAGAGAACTGCTCCTGGCTTTACAGAAGGGGTTTGTTTAGTTCAGCACAGAGGTCGTTGTCAGGGCAGTATGTGTAAACTTAACTTTTGTTGCTGCCTTCGCTGTGCAGGCTATGAATGGGAAACCTGCACTCCTGTGGTGACCATCTGCTCACCTTTAAGATGCCTCAATCAAATAAAGCAAGCTCAAAGCGCTTGTGCAATTACAACTGAGAAGTGGAATGAAAACAGCAGATAACATGATGTACAGAAATAATCATCAACATTTATCTAACAAGGCTCGGTAAAATAAAGAAGCTCAGAAATTCAAAGATGGGTAGTGTCTCTGAGAAATGTGCCTCTCGTAGTTTTATTTGATTACTGAATCAAACTTCAGAGTGTTCTTGAAGATTACATAAACATCCACCCTGGTGAAGCTGGTTTTGTGTGTTCCTGTGCTGTAAGTTATGTCAGGCATTTTTTGTTGTAAATGACTCCATATAACATAGAGGAGATTAAGCAGAATGTTACAATATACAACACACCAGCCATCTTTACCACAAAGCTTGCAAAAACATTTTCTTAGGACACATTTTGAAATGCTGACCTAGTCATTGCTTTATGGTGACCCAACAGATGTGTTTACAGCACCAAAATCTGGTCGGATCTCTCTTGATTTCCTTCTTCCCCCAACAGAATATCTTTTTCATTTTACATGAAAAAGACATTTTACATGTGAGCTCCATACTCTCCTAGCTGTCTTATTTGAGCATAAGCTGTGTAAACACAACAGAAGAGATAGTAACCCCATAAATCACAGGGCTGCTGCCCCTTTACATGGGCTGCTCCTTGTGAGGTAGAGTACTGCTGGGAATGAATCAGAGTGGGAGAAGCACAGCCAGCATGAGGCAAATCAAGAAACAAAAGGCATCTAGCCAGTAGCGTGTAGCAGTAGTAGTGTCGGAGTCCAATTTCAGTGTTTTCATAAAAACATTTGGCCCACAGAATGTGGCTCTTGCTCACCTGAGTAATTGCATTCAGTGTTATGGGAATCGGTGTCTCTGTGGGCCTAGAGTGCTATAAACATTTTTGTTCCTCTTTGCCTGAAGTGTTTTTGTAAAAAAGAATCCCAGCCTGTGATGGCCTTTTATTTTTCTGAGCCAAGAAGTTATGCATGAGAATTTACTTGTTAATCCCAATTCAAAATGTCACTTACTACACCATCATCAGTTCACTCACAGTATTTTTCATAGCTATAAATTCAACATTTCTCCACAGACATTATTTTTTTCTGCTACATAACTGCTTTTTAATAGGAACAAATCCTGCAGTTGCAGATTTGTAGCAGGCAGAATGCCCACAGACTGCAGTGAGAAGAGAGATTTCAGAATAGCCCATTAAGGACTAAAGCAATTTCGGACACAGGCTATTTTCTCCCCAGAAATAATTCAAACACAAGTCAAGAATCACTTGACTCACTCCAGCTAGCATTAGCAGCACTCTGAGCTGCCTGATGCCAGTTCAGAATTTTTTTCACAGATAAGTTCGCTGAAAACACAGTCCCACCTACAGGCTGAAAAGATGAAATGCTTTACCATCGCCTATACTGCAAATATACCCAGGCACTGAGACTTGCAAACTCTTTCCCTGTTTTGCAAGGTCTATTATCTTCTTATTTTAAGGAATCTATACTCTTTTGGAATGCACCTAAATGATTTCTAAATGCATCATGATGTGTCTTGTGTATCTCTTTGTGTTCTGTGACCTTACCTTCATACACGTCTGTTATGTAAAAAAACAACATGGTTTTCAGGTGAAAATACTCCCGCATGAAAGATGAGCCAATCTGATGCTAAAAAAACAGATGGAAATGTGAATTTATTTTTTCCTTGTGACACCAACTTCTGTGGAGATATAAGAACCACAAGGTCACAAAAATGCACACAAAACATAGATGTACATACATACAGATATATATATATATATATATCTGTACACACATAGATATACATACATGCATAGTAATAACCCTTTGTTACTGTTGCCATCTGAACAGATTCCACTTCATAGCAGAAAGAAAAGGCAGGCAGGTAGATGTCATTTTTATTTTATGAATGAGATGCTAGGATGCAAAAGACTGGCTCCCACTCTGTTCTTTTCCAGAAATAATAAAGGTTAAACTTCTTGTCATGAATGTTTAAGGAGGAACAATTCTTCTTTTCTGCTGCCTGCCACTCCAGACAACATGCAACATCGGCAAAATGCAACATGCAACATGGCCAAAATGCAACATGCAACGTGGGCAAAATGCAGCTTTTTACACAGCAAAGACTAGTTGCATTATTCATTAGTGTTTATAGAACACTTGTGTTTCCACTGAAGCTTGTGAAAGAACATAATGGTGAGAAGTTGACATCACAACCCTCCAGATAACTTTAATTTCTAAGAAAGATGTTTTTGCAATTATTTTCACTTTTAAAAAGTCTACCTACGTTACCTATTTTGAAAGTACTTGTAGTCAGGATTGTAATATTAAAAATGCAACTATTGCATTATTTTTAACAGTGTAACCTTATACACTACCTTAAGTCATACTGCCTCTCTGCTAAACTCACTTTCCTCTTCTGACTGGGCTATATTAGAAAATAATCACTTTGTTCAGGCAACCAGTTTCTGTATTTAGAGGCAATATCTGGATATAGATAATGTCTGGGTATAGAACAGACTTTTTTTGCCAACTAAACTAAATTAGAAGGATCTAACTAAACTAAATTGGCTTGGACCCAAGTTGTTCCTATGATTTTCACTTTTGTTTTCATTTCCACATGTCTTAGGTCAGCACTGGATGGTCACTGGAGTGCACAGGATGGTGGCCACCTTGCTCCTCACGTGCATCTGCCTCCATCAAACAGCTGTATCATAGTGTGAGATAAAGAGTGAGTGGTGAAATACAAACACCAGCTGTACCTTACCAATATAATGGCATTTCTGTCCAGAGGATTTTAAACGTTTTGGAGAGCAAAGATCTTTTCTGCTTGAGATCTAGTAACACTACAATATGTACCCATATTTCTTGTAAAAGAATAGTTAGAAATACTATCACGGTCTCTCAAAAAGAGAGTTGGGATCGGACATCCCAGACCACTGACAGCCAAGGAGCTGCACTGCTGTTATGTGTAATCTCAAGACAGAAACTAATCCAAAGTCTACTTTCACATGCATTCCCATATAAGAGGAACAGAAGTCTCACAACATAAAGAAGCCAGACATCTATGCTTTGTCAGGATATTCAGCTCTGCAGAATGTGTCAGTTTACACAGTAATGTCGCCCCAGGAACTGATTGATCTTTAGAAGTACTCTGAGGGAAAATGTGGATTATTTTTTTAACTAAATCAACTCATTGATATGGTTTGTGGGTGTGTTGGCACAGCAGAGCAAGAGATCTGAAACAAGAGCAGCAAAATGCCAGAGATGAGAGACAGGAACTTCTTAGTGGAAATTAGTACTGAGAGCTCTGTAGGTCTTTTCTCTTGCATGTTAGTTAATGATTAAATTACAGGGAATGCATAGAAAAAACATTTTTAATACTATTGACAGGTTTTATTCCACTGAGCTGATACAAAAATATTTAAAATATTTAATTAAATCAAAATAAATTATATTAAATAAACTTGTCCTTTATGGGTTCTGTAATTTCCAGTTTATTAAAGTACTAATG